GTGGGAGTGCTGCACTGTCAGAGGGAGCGCTGCAGTGTCAGTGGGAGCGCTGCACTGTCAGAGGGAGCGCTGCAGTGTCAGAGGGAGTGCTGCAGTATCAGGGGGAGCGCTGCACAGTCAGAGGGAGTGCTGCACTGTCAGAGGGAGCGCTGCACAGTCAGAGGGAGTGCTGCACTGTCAGAGGGAGTGCTGCACTGTCAGAGGGAGTGCTGCAGTGTCAGGGGGAGCGCTGCACAGTCAGTGGGAGTGCTGCACTGTCAGAGGGAGCGCTGCAGTGTCAGTGGGAGTGCTGCACTGTCAGAGGGAGTGCTGCAGTGTCAGGGGGAGCGCTGCACAGTCAGTGGGAGTGCTGCACTGTCAGAGGGAGCGCTGCAGTGTCAGTGGGAGTGCTGCACTGTCAGAGGGAGTGCTGCATTATCAGGGGGAGCGCTGCAGTGTCAGAGGGAGCGCTGCAGTGTCAGAGGGAGTGCCTTTTAGGTGAGATACTAACCAGAGGGCTGACTTCCCTCTCAACTATAAACTAAAACATGGCACTATTAAAGCAATGGGAGTTTCTTCAATCGTTGCCATGGAAGCCAGGTTTCCTGGCCATCCGGCCTATTTGCTGTTTATGGGATCTTGTGCACAGATTGACCATTAGTTTCCCTCACAGTGTGGACTATGTTTTGTGAAGTTGGATATGAAGCTGTGAACTGATACCTTCCTGCTGTCATCCACAGGGAATCTTCCTGTTTCATGTTGTAAATTACAAACCCCTCACTTACAACAAGACCTATGTGTACCCATGGTGGGGCGAGATGATTGGCTGGATCCTGGCCATAGCTTCCATGGTCTGCATCCCCCTCACTGTGGGAATCAAGATGCTTCGGGCTGAGGGAACCCTCAAACAGGTTTGTTCAGACTGAACCCACCATCTCATTGCTATTCCACACTGGCCACTCATTGAAGCCCTCTGTAGATAGGGCCCATCTCTCTCTCTCTCCCATTCTCTGTCTCTCTCTCTCTCTCTCTCGTTTTCTGTCTGTCTGTCTGTCTCTCTCTCGCTCTCTGTCTGTCTCTCCATCTCTCTCTCTCTATGCTGTTCTCCCTCTGTCTCGTGCTCTCTGTCTCACTCTCTCTCTCTGCCTCACTCTTTCAATCTCCATCTGTTTTACTCTCTGACTCGCTGTCTTTCTCACTCTCTCTGTCCCACTCTGTCTGTCTTGCTATCTTACTCACTCTGCTTCAGATAAAGGAGGAGAGAATGACAGAGACAGACAAAGACAGAGAGCGAGAGACAGAAAGAGAGAGAGAGGGAGAGACACAGTGACAGAGAGAGAGAAACAGAGAGTGAGAGAGTGACAGAGAGAAACAGCGAGCGAGATAGAGATATATATATCGAGAGAGAGAGACGAGGTCATAAATCACACGATACCAGCTTATAGTCCAACAGGTTTATTTGAAGACATAAGCTTTTGGAGTCTTGCTCCTTCTTCAGGTGTCAGAGAGAGAAAGGTGGCATTAGACACAGAATTGATAAGCAAAAGATCAAAGCATCATAGAACTGATGCGGTGTTAAACAAGTCTAAGATGGCTGTTAAATCTTTTAATCAGTTAGAAAGGATGAATATGCAAATTCCCGAATTTCTTTCAAGTCACTGTCCCATGATAACCAAAGGTTTTATCAGTTCCCTCAGTATACCAGAGGTGACATCCCAAGTCAGACAATGCATTTTAGGTGTGAGGCCTTGTTTAGAATCTGGCTGTGTACCAACTTGGAGTCAGACTGGTTTTACTTCCAAAGCAGGATATAAAATGCCACATTGACTGTCTACAATTTGTGTGGTTTTTGAAATTACAAATGTGCAAATGCACATCAGCCCATAGATTTATATATGTGTGTGCGCATAGGAGAGAGACAGAGAGAGAGAGAGAAAGAGAGAGAGATACAGAGAGAGACAGAGAATCTCATTGGGAATTCAGGAGAAACAACTTTACCCAGAGAATGGAGGGAATGTGGAACTCGCTCCCACAGAGAGAGAGAGATAGTCTCGTCGTCACTAAATGCCCCGGCATGTGGCCAGGGCAAACAGTTACCCCGATGTTCCAATTGGAGCAACAATGAGCAACCTGCTGGTCGGAGATTTGGTGAAGCCTCATGTTGCCGAACTGCTTCCTGTGGGCAGCACGGTGTCATGAGGATGGTGCAGGAGTGTGTGCAGTTCAGGAGGATCACAACTCAGAGAGGCGACAACACAAGTGACGTCATCTCCCATCCACCCTGGGAAATGTCACACTGATCCTGATTGGCTCCTCGTGAGGAGGGGTATTAGTGGGGGGTGGGGCGGGGTTCGGGGGCGAGTCTTCCTGGCATGCATTTGAAGGGTTTGTGAAACCCGCCCCCACAGAATTCTTCACCTCGTTTCAGGGGCTGGGAGATAGAGTAGGAAGAGAGAGGGGAGTTGGGGGAGAGAGAGGGGGAGTTGGGGGAGAGAGAGTGGGGCAGTCGGAGGGAGAGAGAGGGGGAATTGGGGGAGAGAGAGGGGGGGGGTGGGGGGGAGA